GGCTTTATTTTGGCAGGCTGTTGTGACCCACTTGGCTTCTTCGTCCGTAACGCTTGTGAGCCATGGAAGGTTTCCGCGGCCGGGCTCGAGGTGATCGGCGTCGATATCGTTTTGACTGGCGAACCGCCCGAGAAGAAGGTCACGCAACAGAAGTGCTCGCTTGCCTGGGTCCGATGCATAGCCGTTGGAAGTTTGGAGTGGTGGAGCAGTGGGTGTGAGCCGCGACTTTGCCCAACGTGCCATCCGATACATATCGACGTATGTTGTAGCTTCGGAGAACTTACGCCGCCAGTATTGGCGTTTTTCACTTTTGACTATGCGTCGGAAAGTTTTCCTGCTCTCTTCATCCCTGAAAATTCTGTATTCACATTTGGCCTGTCGACACTCTCTTGACCACTATGGCGCTGTCCTGCCCTTTTTCACGCTTCCACGTCTGCCAGTAGCCCTAACTGCATCGTTGATAGTCTGGACCAGCTTATCAGCAAGGTTATCGACCTCGCTTGTTGAGGCGATGAGCTGTTGCCCTATTCCATTTGCCTACCTTGCCAGTACATTGGCAAAGTCTTCGAGGGCGGCGTCGGTCACCCAGAACGGCTGACCGGTTTTAATGACCGCTCTTGTTTTGGAGTTTGGGCGGGGGACGTCTCCCGCAAGGTTTCGGTGGTCCGATTTCGAATCTAGCTCAAGCGAGATATCTGCAAGAGCTCTTGCGTTGGACCACACTAGGTCGAGCGTGTTTCCAAGATCGTGTGTCGGAACGCCAGGTCTAGAAGATAGGTCCATACCATGCTCGGACATCCATTCGGTGAGCGCTGACCGTCTCCGTGTAGTCTGGAAGCCATGGGCTGCCAGTCGGGGTGTACTGCGTTGAAGTCGCCGCCAATTACTGTAGGCCCAGAAGGAACCCAAGATAGCAGCGACCGTAGACCTACTCCTAGAGCGCGATATACAGAGACAAAAGTGACACCGTCGACCTTTACTGCGGTTAATTCTGGTGATGCTTCACCGATTGCTTGCTGATGGCGCTTAAAAACTTTTCGCGTGTAAATAATCGAACGTTGAGGTTCCGAGCGCGCGTTGTATACTTAGTATACAATGGGTGTGGGTGTAAGATTGGGGTGATATCACGTGGTGTCTCGTGGCTCCTAACTACAACGGATCTTGTGTAGAGCTTGAGACTAATACGTGAATTCTATATCCTTCAAGTGTCGGATGTCTATGTGTCTATATACATTGATTACTCCTTACTCCTCAACGCTAGTAGATCTACTGCTGTGGTCGCGGGCTGTGACCGCGGGCTCTGACAGTGCGATTTGCTGCGCGTGAGGTCATAGGATAATTACGACTACGTGTGTATGCCGTGTTTCCTACATCTAGCTAATTCGTGCCCTGTAGATCTATCCGGGATCCACAACGTGGCCTTGCAGGGTCAGAAGCGGTACGAAGAGGCGCATGCTTTTCGAAACCGGGGTGTGACTTGGTGAGCCATATTCCGTCGTTGAGTTGAGTCCAGGGTTCCTGGATGAGTAGGACATCGGTTCCTGAATCCCAAGCGGATTGCAGGATGATGTCCGTAGCCGGGTCTCCTCTGCCCAGATTAGCGCAGAGGAACGAGATCGTTGTTGCCGTGGTGTCTAGCTCGGTAAGGTTCTGGTTACTTACGGGCATTGAGTTACTTTCATGGTTTCGTTGTCGGCAGTAGCCTCGGTGACTTTCTGCTTTGCTTCTAGTTCGCGGATCGAAGCATTCCTTTCTTTGAGACTCTGTTCGCGTGTTACTGCCAGCTGGTCTTTCGTTCGCTGCACAGCTTTACTGCCTACCCGGGTTGGTCTTGCCATACAGTGTGGCTCAATCGCAAAGTGTGGCCCGTGGCCCGTGGCAGTTCATGCACCTCGGGATTATTTGTTTACACTCGGAAGCTCTGTGCTCGATTGAGCCGCAACGTGAGCATCGTTCCGCTCGTGAGCAGATCTTTGTGGGGTGGTGTCCCCAACACCGGTTACATTGCGCAATTTTGGGCTTGCGCTGGAGTTCGTGTAGGCGACCGCTCTCTTCGAAGAGTCTTTCACTCAGTTTTGGTTTTCCTGTTGCAAAGTGCAACACCCAGTCAGTTGATGGCTTCGCTGTACTTGTCGCAAAAGCACGAGCTGAGGTTGGTCTGACGCCGGTTTTAAGGGTCGCTTATTCAATCACCATTTCTGATATAACTGGGGTTGGACCTTCAAGGGTATAAAGCCTATCAGAAATATTTGGTACAAGCACCGAGATCCAATTGGAGGCAGCTTCCAATTTCATTTCCGCGCTATCTAAGAGAGCGGCACCCGAGAGGAGCGCGCTTCTTGCTCCATCCCCCTCTGCTTGTATCGCAAACCCCGAGTTTACGACAGTGACTTGCTTGATTGCAGAGTTAGCCAGACGCAGCTTCCTCGTAAGGCTTATTTTTATCAAGTGTGGAGACATACGTCTTCACAGATGGTCGGGCTTGACCCGAAGGACCACACGCTCATCTAGGCGGGCTGGTTTGGAAGCTGAGGCATTAGGCCTCGTAGTTTGCGTAGGTACGCTGGCTGGTAGTACAGGCTTTGGCTTTTTCCTAACCACCTGGGTCCAGGATCTCTCAGTAGTTTTGGAGCTTTGTGGTCCATCGCCCTCAATTGGTCTAGTAGGCATTGTTAAAGCCGGCTCTTTGCCTTTTATCTGGCTGCTGCTTTATCTCGCGAGGATTTGCACTGGTCGTGAAATGCTTACGGTGTTCTTTCCTCCCGGCCCAGAAGCCGGCACGGCAGGGGTGTCGTTTTGCTGCCACTGGCAGCCTCTAGTGGCCCACTCGATCGGGGCTGGGGTTTTCCACGCAGAATGTCTGCTATCATGGCCTGTAGGGCCTCTCCATTCTTTTCAACAGCTCTGCGGAGCTGATGGTCGGTTGTGCCGGCCAGTAGGTCAATGTACCCACTGATTAGACGCTGAGCCTCTGCAAAGCGCGAGTTGAAAGCCCTCGCTTCATCTGCGAGGAAGTTAGTCAAGGTAACGCACATTGACTCGGTGTAGTTTTGGGGCGAGTATTGGCAGCTCGCCTCGCAGATAGGCTCTGCGTTTGTGTATTTTCGTGATGGTTGGGTGGCCCTGTGAGGACCATTTCGACGTCAGGACGCATCGAATTTGCGGGTTGGAGGGGGGGCCAAGTGCCAGCCTCTGCGGAGGACTGGGGAGGCATGAGTGAGTGAGGTGTGTGGCAGTTAGAGGTCGTAGATGGTATACGAGAGCGCTGGTTTCGAGGACTGTGTAGGTTAGGCAGCCAAAAGTGTCATTGACAATGTGTTTCTCTAACCGATTGTTGGAAGAAGACGATTGGAGCATACATCATGGCGAGCGGGATGATGACGAGAGGCAGTCTAACCTATGGTGAGCTAGCCTAGCTGCGCCTACAGGGCTAATCCCTTGAACAACCCAGTTTGAAGTTTTACCTTTTCTAACCTAGAGGCACTGTACGCTTATTTTTTTTTTGCATCAGATTTTAATTGCGTATGCAGCTATCTAGCTATGACATAATATCAAAGAAAAGTACAGAAAAGATGACTCAATTTACAAGAGGAGCACTCATACCTCGGATTTCATTTGCAAGTACCACTGCGAAGTTGTGGCGGCTTTTTCTTCACCCCAAGTCAACCCTCATCCGTCAATACCCACCCATGGAACGTCTCAAAAACCCTGAGTTATCCAGACATGCCTCCGTCGTCCATCAACTTTTCTCCGTGCGAAATTTAATCTGAGATGTCTCCTTCCCAAGTGTAGTAGGTGCCCAGGCTACCCAAACTATACCGGAGAACACCACCAGGAGGCGGACCACAACACCTTCCTAAATTCTCACCAAAAAGTTAAAGCCTATTCGCGATAAACCTAGCAAATTGCTTCCTCCGAAGACTTTGATACTGACCTCATATTCTTTCATTTTTGCACTTATATTAAGGCCTGAAATCCTTGAGTGATTCAGAATTTGGTAATTGTCTACTCTATCACTCCAAATTCCCAAATATTGTTATATTTACATTTTCAATTGAAAATTAAAGTGCTAAAAACTAAGTATTGGTTCCCTAAAATTGTTATTCGCCAATTTCGGTGACGAGTTTTTGAGTTGCTCGACCTAGCTCAGCCATGACATGAGGAATGAGCTAGCTATATTAGGAAGCGACTTAAAATATGATAGATAAGAGGTTCGCTATTTAAGAGATTAATTATCACATTCAAAGCACAAAATTTGCAAGTAGTTTAAAACTATTTCAATTTTTCCTATATCAAAAATATTTATCCCAAAGAGCTTGTATATTTTTGGTAGATAAGAAAAAAGTAGACATGTTAATGGGAAAATAATGAATCGGCGTCCGTAGCACACCATCAGCATTTTATGCTACGATCGACTTTTTTAGGCATAAAGAGGACTCAATCCATCCTTAATGCATCGCTTGATTCAACGCCAAAACACCAGGTATAGATAATTGTATCACCTAAGCCTTGTGATAGCAAATCTTTCAGTAAATGATTGGCTATGGTCTCTTTTCTACGCCAACAACCCGTCCAAGCTTTAAACAGCGATTCTATCAAATATGAGACGAGATGCGAACTTTGGAATTATGGAAATTTTACCCCTTCAGGTATCTTTTTTAAAGAGTCCAGTCTCGCTGTAAAGTTTAGTTCTCATCTCGTCGGATGCCATAGCAAACTGGACATGGCAGCTGCGTAGGTAAGCAAGCTTTGTAATTTTGTTAGGTATTAGACAATTATACAATCAAGTTTCTGATGTAATTTTTGTTGTAAGTTGCATCACCTTCCCCGTTCATCTTCAAATTTTTAATCTCGAGGAGCAATCCGAGTTCAAAGTAGGCTGTTGGTAAATTTTCCGATTTAATGGATTAGAAACTAACCATTAAGGTTATCTTTCAGATTAGCTGCCGACAAATCTTTTTTTTTTCATAAAATTAAGCATACCAGCTTTTAAGATTCTTTTATTGAGCCCAGAAATCGTCTGACAAATTGCTTGAAGCAGGGCCAGTCCCGACGTTTGCTTGTATTTGAGGGAAGTTACTCATCCATAGAAGTTCATTTTCTTCTTCAGGAAGAGGAAATGCAAAGTGACTCTCAGTAAAAGGAGATGAGTCTTGACTAGCTCTGCTTTGATCATCAGTAGGAGTAAGAAGTCCATGAGAACAACTATTCAGAGTATTGGAACATTTGAGAAAAACTTCTAGATCTTCGATGTTACTATTTGCTAAAACCTGCGAAGATGATAAACTCATATATGGTGACGTCGTGCTGATTCCGTAATCCTCCACATCAATAAAATCCGGAGTATCCTGATCTGAGGTGTATTTTGTGTGGGGGAAAATGCTGGGAATTCCACTAGTCTTATCATTTAAAGGTGCGAAATCATCCACTTCGGAGATTTCTCCCGAAGTAGGCGCTGTAGTTAGGGTTGGTTGTTCCAAGCTACCAAATTCAAATCCAGAGTACGAAGTCGGTTGACTGAAATTCGATGAAACAAAGCTTTCGCTGTTAAATGTAAGTCTATCATAGTGTGACCAGTCGATGGAAGACGGGCCGATCCCTGCCGAAAACATGGGTTGTTCAGTTTCAGTGGCTGACGAAATACTATTCAAGCCCTGTGGCCAGTTTACATCCCCAGGCACAAACATGCTAAGAGAGGGCAGTTGTCCATTGAGCAAGTCTAAGCTCGAGGCTGAACTGAGAACAGGCGAAGCATGTTCAGATTTCACTAGACGTTGCTCTATAACCTCCTTGATAGGGGAGTCTTCATGCCTTGGCTTTACGGTTGTCATGTATGCTGTTTTTTCAAGAGTTTTACTGATGCTTGTGGGTGACGGTACACGAAGAGATTGTGTTCGTGACATAGGATATGGAGACCCATACTTCTGGGCTGTATTGTTGTGCTTCTGTGATTGTTTTCGGTGACCATTAGTAAGGATTGTTATACCATTTTCAAAGCTGGTGGTATGAGCACGAGCACGTCGCTTAACCATAACAGGAGGTTCGTCGGAATCTGACTCGGGGACTGGCTCCAGGGGCTCCTTCTTCAGAGCACATTTGCATCCAGCTCCATGATTACAGGAACAGTTTTTGGCTAGGTTTAAGTTAGTGATAGCTACCGTAGAAGCAAATCATGTAGTCCTACCATGAGTATTTGCTTCAAAGCTATCTCCATTAGAGCTAGCAGCAACGATGGCAGCTGCAGTCAGAGTTTCTTTGGACTGAATCTTCTCGAGACTACAGTCACAACGTACATGAGCCGACCGGGATTTTCGCAAAGTTCGACAATGCTGACATTGGGAAACTGGGCGGCCCTAGGGTTAAATAAGCATGGATTGTGGGAGAGATTTGAAGCGACGCACAAACCTTTTTGTTGATATGCTGGAGAGGCCTGTCTGAATGTTGACAGTTACTCACACGATGACCCCTCACACATGCTTCACATGCCCATTTTTCACCTCCGATCAACATTTTGGTAGAACTTGTAATAACTGCGGGGCGAAGATGGGATGAGTCAAAACAGAGTGAGGCCGTGTGCAGGTGTATTTATTTGCGCGAATAATGATCGTATCGCAAGAAAATAAGCGTAAAAAGCTTGATCTTCTGTAAATATAGATCGTACTTCTGAGTTAAATAATAGAGTAAACTATGCGTTGGTTTACAAGGAGTTTAGAGGATTTTTCAATATAGAAACGGGTTGCTTTGCGCTTTACTCTATACCGCAATTCCGACTCTGAGACTAGTGACTGACAAGAGCAGTTTTTATGAACTGATACTAGACAGTTACAATCAAATTTTCTTTTCTAGAGATACTGGTACTTATTTTGACAAGAAAGTGGAGATGGGAAGATGCGTATTTCGTGAAAGTCCCTAGGCTGCAGGGAAAACAAGGAAGATAGAGCTGGAGGCTTGGAGTTAACGATGGTATAATGATAAAGAGAGAGAGAGAATGAGACGGTAGAGAATTCGAAAAGGTAAGATGATGTACGATAGTGAGCTTGGATGGGTAATAGTGACAAGTGAGTGCGAGGAGGGGAAAAAATTAAGTCGAACCCTGGTATAGCAAGGGCAGAGAATTTAGGGTCAAGGCCACGATGAGATGCGTGATGAGATTGGGCAAAAGAAAAAACCAGAATGCCCCGGCTGCACAGTTTGGCTGGCAGACAGTTCGTTATTTGTAAATCGCTGAATTAGTGGACTGGAAGCCGGAAAGTCACGGTGAGATTGACCTGACTCACATTGCGGGGCACATGATGATGCTGGAGGCAAACCAATCAAGCAATCAACAGGAGACAGGGCAGTAAAGTGATGTTTCATGAATTTTAATCGGTTTCTTTGCTCTGCTCTTTGTCAAGACGGGTGGGAGGAATAAGTACAAGGGCCGGGAAGGTGGGGGAGGGGAAGGACCAATGTGGGGGATATATGACTGAGGCTATAGGGCAACAAGACGCACCAGGTGGGATTCTAGAAGACTCCCATTCATAGTGGGAGCGACCCACTTAAGAAGCGAGACTAGGGTAGGCTGGGAGAATGAGAAGTAACTGAAGGTTCCCAAGATCATTCATTTGTTCCATTTCTGAACATCATCCATTGCCGACGGATAGAGCAAGGATTCAAAATCTATGATGGCCCCTGCTTTTCCAAATTTCATCGTATAATTTCAAAGTCTCACATATTACGAGTCATGCATAACCATTAAGCACTATATCCCACGCACCGATTTATTAGCAGCTTTGTAGTGAATGATTACAATCCTAGTTAATCCAGTGATACTAGTGATGTACCTGAACTGAAAAATGTACTGATTTGAGAAATAGACATCCTCCTAAGCCACACAAGTACTTTATTCGCGATCAAATGGTGTGATGGTACGTCATCCGAGATTGTAACCCAATTAAAGTCTGGAAAGTTTGGGTACCTTTCTAACTCCAGACGAGGTGTCATTATTGCGAATTAAACAAGACTCAATCAAAGTACCCGTGGTGCATATTCATGTCATAATTAAAGCGTACTTGGTTAACTATTGGGTAGAAATTTTAGTTTGATGGATACTTGTGAACGAGGGCTAACTGTATCGCCCAAATTAACACAATTCACAAGTATATTCGCGAATAAAATATGCAGTCCTAGTGTCCCTGAATTTAATAGGCTTCCTAGGACGTACCTAAGACACCAATCATATGTCATATCTTTGAAAATAAATACAAAATATATTATTCTAAAGCATGAACCTTGAATACTATGGTATGAAGAGAGGGTGATACATCAAGGTTTATTCTCGTAATATGACCTTTTGTCACTATCAATCGGGTGAATGCTAAGACTAAGATTTGGATCGATAAAGCTGGCTCAAGTTTCTGAATTCTGAAAGCGGAAAGATTGTTAGGAAATTGTTAGAGCTGGCATCATCGAGCCGTTGTTCTATTTTATTTCCTGCGGGTTGTGGCTGCAGAAAACGGTGTGGAAAACGTATATCACGTGCAAGTCGGTCCGGCTTTAAAAAACTGTCCGACGTATCAGTGCTTATAGGAACCAAAGGATTGAGGAGGGCCTAGACCCTCCGGCCTAGCACCCAGGAATAAAGATGATAAATTTAAGAGCACCTTTCCGCTAGGACTCCTTCACAGTAAACCATAAAGTACAAAGGTCTATGGAGAATTGGGGAAGACAGAGCTTGTAACAGGGAGCAGCATTAAGGATGTGCCATAGCCTATTAAAAAATTTATTAAGCATTCTATCTCTCGTAATTCACGTGCGCACAACTGAGGGAACGGAGGTTTCAGCCCTAGACAAAATTTAGGCTAGCGTCGCATGAATTCGGGCTGTTCTTCATACTGGCTCAGCCCTATAGAGAATGAAGCCTGAGGGGCGACTGGGATTTTTCCCGAAGCCCCCCATTCCGTCCGACGACAGAGGACAGGGTCTGCCTACCCGCCGAACGCTAGTTGAGCCTGAAATTTACAGCTGATCCATTTTAATCATTAAATACAGCGCCGTTCACACACTTTCAACATGTGTGCGATTCCGTGTCATAATAGTCGTAAAATATTTCAAATATGCAAATTACTGGCTCTAGAATAGCCGATACCTTCAACCTGATTGTTGGGACATTGAGAAAGTAAAGTCACGATAGTAAGATAATACGGATGGTAGTATGCGATATGTGGAGAATGTAAAATGTGGTGCAGTAAGATTAGAGTGATAGAGATGTGTTGTGTACTAAGGATGTGGACACCTTTTAGTTGACCAACTGGCTGACTAAGCAGCGTTTCCTGACACTGATCCTCCAATGGCCAGGGCGCATGACGTTGGCGCCAATACAAGGCTGAGAGGCTCACCACACCGAGGGCGGCATAGTCCACGAAATCTAGCGAAAATGCCTCATTACCTACGTCACATGACTTAGTCTTTCTTGAATCTCCACTAATTGGCCGAGTAAGGGGCCGAAGAGGGAGGGGTGATGTTGCGAAATTGGCTAGCTGCCGACTGTAATTTGACTAATACCTGAGCAAAGGCCGCTAAGGCCAGGCGCTCCTGGCTAATTAGCTTAGGTGCGGATACTGGAGAAAGCTATAATAGGCGATTTGCAATCTTCGCCGGTCGCCGCTGGCACCAATTTGGCTCCACTAACCTTTCCACTTGCCTTTAATTCCTCCCAGACCCATTTCTTCCCTGTCTTTCGGAAGTATTCTTCCTAGCTAACCAGAACTCTGTGACCGTATGGGCTTCTACCTCTGTGGGCTGCTTTGTTCGTAAGCGAACTAATAATAAGGCCCTGATAATTGAAAAAGAGGAGAGTGACCTGGCAAGGCCGACTGACAGCTACCCCACCCATACAGCCAAGCTCATGATTCCGCCAAGATGAACCGATGGTCTGACAACCTGTTTTTAATTTGAAAAAGCTTTGTGAATTCTAGAATTCTAGAATGAAGAATTAAGGCTTCAAAACAGCTCCCGTCTCATCCAAGATGCAGGCGAAACTCGGAATGCGTGTAAGCCAGATATTATTACATCTACTTGGAGAATTATCATGTTTGCGCAATAAATTTATCTGTTAATCTGATCTCCAGATTTAGGAGTAACAGCAACAAAATTACCTTGAACTTCAGCTGAACCAAGGTCAAATCTTTGCAAGTAGTACTAACATAAAATTTGTTAGAACCTTCTGTGACACCACTTTTCGGTAGATTGATACTTGGAGTAACAAGATATTATTTACAGATCTAAGAGCAATATTATATGATCATTTCTATACCCACATACGAAAAGCTTTTTGTCCAAACTAAGCTAGCTCATTCTCTAAAACTTATCCATAGAAATTTAATAGGAATCATGTTGACTAATAATAAGGAATGTCCCTCTTCTGTCAGTATCAACCAGTAAAACTTTTTAAAGCTTTAGATGACTCAAGGAATTTTTGTCACATTATACACATCTACTTGGCTGATTGTTGTAGGTTCTTTCATGCAAAGTATCAATCATTCATTGCCGCCAGTGGAATAGATTCCCAGACCATTCGGACAAAATTTGGGCGATCAGCATTCCCGAAAGATTAGGCAGGCCTATTAGAACAAAGGCCAAGATTTCTCCCCGTCTCGGCTTGAATAGTGGGCAATCTAATTCCCTAAGGGCATGAATAATGTCCGAGATTCATTCTAACTACTAGGCGGCACGAAATTCCTTTCCTACACATGTTTATGGCCATAAAAAGTCACAGAGACACAAGTTTTAACCTTAACACATTAAGAATGCTTTGACTGCGGAGATGAGAAATACCTGAACACTCCTTGATTGATTTAAATTCATGTCTCTGCTGAGTCCTAGACTATGAAAGACTACTTAAAGATCTACCTGAATAGCTATTCAATTAATAGGTTAATTTTTAATTTGAATATTACAATTATATGCCAGTTGATCCTGAGGGTCATACCCTACTGAACACTCCTTATTTCGATGCTGAAAGTGCAAATCTAGGAGGACAAATACTGAACACCTGTCAGCGGCATCCTCTACGAACCTGGGAGTGAAACCATCACTCAGACTTAGATTCAGTGAGAATTCACAGTAGCAAAGAAACTGGTCCTCAAGGCAATGAATTTAGACAATCGTCCAAGTCATTCTCTCCCTCCCAACAAGTTGAATGACCGCTGAAGCATCATCAGTTTTACAAGTATGATTTAGTATATCCTCATTCCAGAGACTACACGTTTCATCTACAATTTTCTGGCCTCAGCTGCCCACTAAATATATGATCACACCGATATTCACACCAGACGGAGGAAGCAAAGCGTGGCGCACAAATCTGGGAGAAATTTCTTTTGGATAGACGGGAGAGGGATCAGGGCAAGTCCACAAGATGACGCAAAGGAAGAGTGCAGCTCGACGTGTCGTTATAATTAATCAAATGATCGTTGTGGATATTTGTAATTGATAGTGATTGGGGTGCTGGCGTATCTGCTTAGGTAAACAGC